GTTTGGGGTTTCAAAACCTAAATTTTTGATACGGTACACCATTGCTTGAACAATTTGACAGTTTTTAAATGGAAAACATTGAAGATTCTTTCAATAGATGCCCATAAACCATGAAATTACAAAATTTAGAATACGAGTACACGTCTTGTCGTTTCCGTTCATTAAAGTGTATAAGTGTTTATCTTGTTCTTAAGGAATTCCGTTTATATAATTGGAAGAGAGTTTATTTCTTTAAAACACATCAGCATTTTACTTTATAATCAATCTAAGACAGTAAATAAGGTTAATTTAAGTCAAATGTTCAATTTGCAAACGGAAAAATGTCATTTTCGGATCAAATGTCTTCATTCCTCGGAATTTCCTCGGAATATTCCGAGGAAATTCCGAGGAAAGTACATGCTTCCTCGGAATTTCCTCGGAAAATTCCGAGGAAATTCCGAGGAAGATAACCCCTAAACTCAAATCCCTAAATGCGAAATGTACCGAGGAAATAGCGAGGATATAATGCTTTTCCTCGGAATTTCCTCGGAATATTTTTAGTAAAAAAAAAAAAAAATTTGTTGATAACTACTCTGTTTCCGAGTCATCATCATCACCATCACCAGATAAATCTGAATCTGGATCTTGGTGAAACTCTCCAATCTCTGGTTCATCCTCTATGTGAACGATGGCTTCCTCTCCAAAGTCGGTAAAATCGACGACAAGGTCAACTGCAACTACATCTTCTACTGCAATTAAGTTACCCGATGTGTTTGTTTGTAGCGGGTCTTCCAGCTCAGAACTTCCCTGAACTCGGCCCCTCGGGTTGAGTGACGTAACAGTGACCCATGGATCATCTATGTTCCTAATCCGGGGGTACTTGATATAACAAACCTGTAAAAAAAAATTTGTAAATTTTTAACTTAGTATATATATTAGTACATATTTGAATAATTAACATATATATATATATTTAATTACCTGGTCCGCCTGAGAAGCAAGAATGAAAGGATCATAATATTGCAACTTTCACCTCGAATGTACTGATGTAACACCAAATGCATCTGTCCTCACACCTCGATCCGGAGTGTTGTCGTACCAATCACAATAGAAAACAGTACAACGCAATCCAACCATGCCCGGATACTTGATTTCCAAAATCTCTAGTATGTGTCTGTAGTATACATCATCTCCTGATGCAGAACAAACGCCAGCATCATAAGTAGTACTTGAACGTCTCCTCTTTTGAGTTGTGAATGCATATCCTCGAGTACAGAATCTGGGATATGACTTCACAACATATTTGGTCCACACACCATCTCTCGTATCCAATCGTCAAATGTTTCACCTCTCGCCATACCAGCAGACACCTATTAATATAAATTATATCATTCAATATATGTGAATTAGTATAAATATGTGATAAATAATATTTTAATTTGTTTAAAGCACTCACATAAGAAAACATCCAACTAGCAAATTCTCTCTGCTTTAGTTCTTCTAGTTCCTCCTCTGTGGCGTGTCTATGTTCAAACCGCTTTTCT